GGCGGGAGCGCGCGACACATTTACAGCAATAGAGATAATGGCAATAATAATTTTACTGGGAAATGTCCGAGGGATGGTGACACGGCAAAGCGCCGTTGTAATTTAACGCGTCGCCCCATGCTCACATGCGAGGTATATTAAACGATGATTTAAAATGCCACGTCGCGAGCCACCATCGCTCCGAGGCCACCCGTTACGGTGAATGCGGTCGTCGAAGAGTAAACCCGCGGAATCGTTGGCGATTAATTCCCGCATCGACGGACGGACGAAATGTTACATAACACAGTAACCGAATAGCTTAACCCGGATGGGATTTTCTCCCCCACCCCACCCCTGCACACCACCCCAACCCCTAGCCCCCCGCCCCCACGCCCCGACCACTTTCCTCATCCTCTCCTTTGTTTATAATCGTAATTCAATTCCAGGACACGATCTGCTTTAAAAATGATCGCTTGCCGCCCGGTGAAATATTGCATTCTCAGCCAGGGAGATGAATTTCTTTGCTTCTACTTCCCAGTATAAAGGGGCTGTGTCACTGGCACTGAACAGACTTGGGTGGGGGGGGAATGTGAATCGTTTCCTCCGGATTAGCAGTGTGTGCACGGAAAGTGGGATTTTGACCGCTCGCAATGGACAGGGGTGATATGCAATTCCCTGTTTTTGAGAACTGCGGCTTCTTTCCCTGCCATCGTTCTTCCTGCCATTCGTGTCGGGTCGTGGCCTGCCGCTCGGCAAGCGGTAATATCGTTGGCGATGAAAATATTCTTCGATTTAGTCTCCTTATTTTATATATTTTTCTATTTTTGTTAACAGTGACTGTGAGCAGACAAAGGTCATCGAGTGTGACCACTAAACCAGAGACCGGAGCGCGATTGGCCGTGATGAGATAGAATTAACGAGTCTGATTGAAGATGCAGACTGAGGTTATTTAGTAGCGTTATTAGTGCACCGAGCAAGAGAAATCATGGTAACTGGCTACATGTGTATAGAAATAGATTTAATGTGTTCGCCGATTGGCTGACCTGATAATAATTGGGGAGGAGGGTGGGGGGAAATTGTGCCTTCCTCCCACCAACATTGAACAACAAAACATCTGACTGCTTTAGGTGACAAGACTGAGAGAATGACTACGTGAATTCCACAGTCTAAGACTTGACAACAATATAAAGGTTCCATACAATCTAGAATATAAAGGTAGTTGTTGACAAAGCCGGGGAAAAAAAACATGATGACTAAATGAACACTGCTGCCAAAAGCCTCATGAAAGTGGCATTTCCCCTGCCATTCTCTTCCTCTCCCCCTTTCTCTCTTCAGTATAGCCGTAATTGGCCCACACTTGGCGAAGGTAAAAGCGTGGAACGTGGAGCGAACAGAATGGTTTCTCTGAATGCCACTCCGTTGGTGTGCTGACTCAAAGACAAGTGTTATAAAGGACTACACGTTGTATCTTTTTGCTTGCATCTGTATTTAATGTTTCAATTGAGACTTTTTTTTTTAAAGACGGATGCCAATAATTCACGCTGGCATGCACTTACAATGCTTGCAAAGCGACAGCAGGGCATTATGGGTATTTCCCATGTTGCATTGCAGCGTAACGTTCTACATCTTCACATGTTGTAACTTAAATTTCGATTTAAAGCTTTCGTGACTGCAGGGATTCATCTTCTTGGTTCTTTCGGTAAAGTCACGTAGAAGGGAAATGATAAAAATAAAACATAATAAAATAATTCTCACGACGTTTCGGCCACAACGCAAGCAGCCGTCCTCAGGTGAAGAACAGGTCTGTCGGAAAGACAGCGTCTGAATCAGACGCTGTTTTTCCGACAGACCTGTGGCTGAAACGTCGTGAGAATTATTTTATTATGTTTTATTTTTATTATTCTATTATTTCCCTTCTACGTGACTTTACCGAAAGAACCAAGAAGATTTTTTTTTCGATTTAAAGCTTTCGTGACTGCAGGGATTCATCTTCTTGGTTCTTTCGGTAAAGTCACGTAGACTTTACAGAAAGAACCAAGAAGATGAACCAAGGAGATGTTGTAACTTGCACACTTGCGTCTGCGTATATATGTAGGTGTAATAATGTCAGGCGGCTGCTATTGTGTATCCTGGTGGCCAAGAGATGCCAGAGTAAAGGTGAAAGCAATCGGACGAGGAATCGGTAAATGTGGGAGAATTGATTACAATTGATTGGGGCGAGTGACTGAGAGCTTGCAGCAGTGTGACAGCTGTTGTCATGGTGGCATCAAAACAAAACAAAATCAAGGACAATGGATTTTGCTCAACATGTTGCCTACGTTGTAGCAGCCATCAGGAAAGGCACAGTGACAAAGTTGAACGCCGCTTGTCAACAACGCAGGGAGTGCATCACCCAGTTTCCTGAAATTAATCTCTAAGTTTGGGTGTAAAATATAACCAACTATTATTTAATCCTCGAAGCTTTCGTGAAACTTTTGTTTTGGTTAAACAGAATGTTTATAAATATTTTTAGTTGCGAATTTATAAAAGAATCCCATCAGTTGAATAAAAATTTTAGCGCATTTAGGAACCGCATTAAAGATCAAAGCAAATTCGTTCCTATTCTTGCCTCAGGCCTCTGCTTCACAAATGGTTTTTTTTGGGTTTTCATAGCCAGTTTGCAGAAATATCAATTCTACACTCGTGAAATAGTTCTTAATTCAGGGAAATTAATAATATATTTAAATTTAACACGTAGGCTTTCGCGACCAATGTTATTCATAATCAACGTTTTTGGACACAGCAGAGCCTCACCATTCTGGCGAATTGCCCGATGATGCTGGATGCAATTACCAGCGAAACGTCGTACTCAAATTGTAAATGTTGTGGCTTCAACACACTGGTGGGCTAAAGCAGTGAACTATTTGTCTTTGTCAACGTGACACATTTTTACTGATTGGCCGTGTCGGGTGGTGGAGGGTTACGACACATTTATAAATAACGCGATCTAAACCCAAAAACGTTGATTATAAATAATATATTTAAATATTAAATTCTTTCTTTAAAAATTACACGTACATTTCTTTTCAATCTCATTCCTCCTCTCGACCGTCAATACATGATTTCTGGAGGGCCTCGGACATGAACCACATGAATGTCAGATCGATCCTGTTAAATTGCAAGAGCCAAAATAACAACTATTGATTCGAGACGGGGGGGGGAGAGAGAGGAGGTGGCGGTCAGAGTCGTGGAGCGCGCGCACGACAAGAGAAGCATAGTGCTTTGAAAACAATAAAAAGAGAAGGGGGCAAGAATGAAACAAAAAAAATATTCGTCGTGTCACGAGCGCTATCGGGGAATGTCACGGTGAAGAGCTCTGCCGGTTCGCCACCGCGTTTAATAACGGGGAGCTGACGGCGTAATTATTAGCCGCGCGGACACAGCTGGGCCTGCTGTGACGGTGGGTCGTGCGCGCGTGTGTAGATCGCACGTTGGAAGCAAAGTGAAAACTTTCCCGAGCTGTAAATTCGCTTTGTCCGCACAGCATGCTTCTAGCCGCGAGAGGATCAAAGTTAGATTTCTTTTTAAAATTTCTAGCCGCGGAGCTTAGAGGAAGGTTTAGCGTGTGTATTTCCACCACCCCCCCCACCCCCCATCTTGTTTTGTATTTAATAGCTGGTGGAAACTTCGATAAAAAATATATTTACGATAGAAATAATTATCAGGCAATTCCCAGACGTTAATTAATTCGATAAATGATAATTCATTCTAATATGTCAATGTTTTGAGCGATGAGTATGTCTTTGCATGTATGGATATTGAACTTCTTTCGCACTGTATGCAGCCAACCTTGCTAATCATAGGTGCACATGAAGGACAATAAACTAAACACAAAAAGCTGTTCTAAAGAAATTAGTTTTCAATTTAGATTTCAAATTTCAAACCTCCCCAGTGGCTTGTGTGCGTGCATGTGGCTGGAGCGTTAGTGTGGTGGGTAGCACACTCTGCTACAAATCTGGCCGCCCGAGTTCTATAGTTCGATACATGCTCATCGTCAACACCGGTGGTAATTATTTAAAATCAGTCCTGGGCTTCTTCGCAAAGGTTGACTCAGCCTCACATGAGTACCTGGTGCGGTGTTTAAACATTGACACTGGAGAGACAAAGGCGGTCGGGTGTGGTGTTGGGCACCCAAACCCTCGTGTGCCGTGCCGGCGTTCAAAGGGGCTGATGAACAGCACTTGCCCCAAACTTTTCAGGCTACATGGGGGTCTTTTACATCCTTTATATTAAGTTCGCTTGCTTGCGTGCTTGCTTGCTTGCTTACGACTGTGCAAATCTTTCAGTCGTTTTTTAACCCACTTCCCGTGATCCAATCGAGCTGACATTTTGCACACAGACTCGTTGCGTGAGACAATTAGTGTTCGTGAAATTTTTTTCTCCAAAATTTCACACTGTTTAGGGAGAACAAATTAAATATTTAATTACCAATTGCTTAATACTGGCAGACAATCATCTGACCCATAGGTGGCAGCCATCTCAAGCCAGAGGACGAGAGGACTCTAGCCGCCACGAATATAAAGGATTTATAGTGAAAAACTTAGTTTTACGGGTTATACTTTTTACATGTGAAAATGGGAATCACAATTGGTGCATCTCCCAGTTGTCTCGGTCAGTCAACTCATTGCACCTAGGTCTGTCCCGTTCCCTCCTGCCAGCGAGCCTTTTGACATTCCACATGCATCTCGAAGTGCTCCTAGTCTGGCACAAGCACTGTGGTCACATCACCGCCACTTGGTGGCAAATGCTCCAGCTGCTGTTGTATAGTTTAAAGTTTATTTCATGAAACCAGGTAAGAAATCAAGAACGAAGATAGAGTCTCGGTTGCGAAATCGGGACCTGGGGCATTAGTCTGCCAGTAGGGCAGGAGAGACGATGATTGTTATTTTATAATCTCAGTTGAGTAAATATGCCACGTGTGTGTGTGTGCGCGCGCGTGCTTTGTGCGTACCTGTCCGTGTTTGTCGCGTGAAACCCGGCAGGGCGAGGTGCTGTTCGACCCCGAGTTTGACGTGGTGCGGGAGCTCGCCCACCTCTGCCGTCTGTGCAAGGCGTTCGCTGCCAACGGGCAGCTCGTCAAGCCAGGAGGAGCTCAGTGTCTGCCGTCAGGTGAGGCCGCAGCGACAGCCACCACCACCGCCGTTGTCGTCGTCGTCAGCCGTGGCCAATCAGCAGCGGCCAGGGACTGAAATCGTCAGCGCGAGCGTTGACCAAGCCCCCTGAACAAATGACCTCCATCTTCTTGGTTCTTTCGGTAAAGTCACGTAGAAGGGAAATAATAAGATAATAAAAATAAAACATAATAAAATAATTCTCACGACGTTTCGGCCAAGCTGTCTCCCCGACAGACCTGGTCTTCACCTGAGGACGGCTGCTTGCGTTGTGGCCGAAACGTCGTGAGAATTATTATGTTTTATTTTTATTATTTTATTATTTCCTTCTACGTGACTTTACCGAAAGAACCAAGAAGATGAATCCTTGCAGTCACGAAAGCTTTAAGGGGACGATACAGCAAGTGTGTACTAATATCACCTGCCCCTTCTGTACGGGATAGAGCGTTGCCTCCTCGCGCGCATAGGTTTTCACCGGGTGCTGTGGTTTCCTCCCACATGCGTACACACGTATTAATTGGCTGAAGCATCTAAACATATTTGTAGGAGGGCTTGGGCAGTTTAACACGTAGGCTTTCGCGACCAGTGTTATTCATAATAAAGGCTGTGTCGGGTGGTGGTGGGTTAACGACACGTTTATATATACTTGGCCAGTTATTGGTGTCTCTTCACCACCTGGGCTACTTTCCAGCTTGTCCGTGGCTCCTCAGCGATTTGTGAGATCCTGTTTGCATGAACAAAGATGCTGTATGAAACTAAACATTGTTATTATTATTAAACATTAGGTGTGCAACACTTAGATTCCACATAAAAATGTAAATTAAATGTAATTTAGATACCGCCCATCTCTGCCTGGCATGGCATAACCAAATCAGGATGGGACCAATTGACTAATTGACACGATCAAATTACCTGGAACGCACCCAATTTCGCCTGAGATCAGGAGCTAAGCTGGGTTGACTTCGCACAGTCCTTGGATGGGTGATCACTGAGCTTCTAAAAATATTTGCCATAGGGCTCCAGGACTGCGAAGTCAGCAGAGGGCAGTGCAACAAAATCCATTGTTTTACCTTAATTCTCCGATGCTTATGCTCCACACCTTCACCAACCCCGCGCTGAGCAGCGTGGTGAAGTTTGGTCATATGGTCTCCAGCGACCCGTACGACGTTTGATCTGGCACGAGCGTCACGCTGTGATTGTTCACCAACTACCGCGAGGTGATGTTCACGCGGCGTTTGGCCAGTTTTGAAGAGCCTGTAGAACTTTCCTTTTTTTAAAGTCATCAGATTCAATAGAAATTGGTGCTTGGCTCACCTGTAAAAAGAAAAAAAAATTCACAAAAATATATCAGAATTAAACAATGATCTATCCGCTGCTGGATAAAAGCCTTTCAAAGTCTTCGCCATCTCCCATTCTACTTCTGCGGCGGTCATTCTGTCGGGCATTTGCTCTCTGTTTGGCTGTCACCCCATGATAAGGCTCAAATAGAGGCACCTGTGCGAGCAATGTGTCCTGCCGAAAGCCAATTGTTACCCTCCTTTAACAACCAACATGATACCCATACTCTTAGGTTTTTTCGGTAAAGTCACGTAGGTAAATAATAAAATTAATAAAAGTAAAATAAAAAACACGATGTTTCGAAGGCAACACAAGCCTCCGTCTTCAGGTGGAACCGTCACAGCACGATTGCTGTATCAAGTAAAGAGAAATTCTAAAAGCGATGGGTATTACCTTGTTATCGCGGCATCTCTTGAGGAAGGCCAGCGTCTCGAGAAGCTGTGACTTCTTGTCTCGTTGTCTGTTAAAAACTCTAACAGATAGGTGAAATTCCTCCCCGTAGAGGATATTAATTCTAGATTTGAAGCTTTCGTGACTGCAAGGATTCATACTCTTAGGTTTTTTTCGGTAAAAAGTCTAATTTGTTTGCTCTCATATCCATGTGCCCTGTTCATGACCTCTGGGCCTAATGTACATATGCAGTAAACGAGCATGTGCCTCTGCATGCTGCACTAATCAATTATAATTTTTCGTTCCGTTTTCCTTGTTAATGTTCATGTATGTGATCCGTGCGACCTTGATCAAAAACCTTACATGCAACACGTGTAAAACAATTTATTCGAAACGTTATTCTGTCCATCTCCCGCACCTCCGATTGGCACGGTCGGCTACGTTCGGTGCAAAACAAGCTCGACATTCACACATTTACATCCATCTTGTCAACGTGCGGGCTAGATGAAGGCTATGCTTCACCATCCCGGTGAATGCGGGTTTAGTGAGCGGGGGCTCGAATACCGCTCACAACTAAATGTGGGCCTAAGCCCCGAAACCAACTCGGGTCAACCGGGTTCATTTGCACAGCGCGTCAGCCTCTGCGCCGCCGAGTTTTCACGTCGGGCCGCACTTGAGATGTCGCCAACAAACGAATTGAAACTTCTCCTCCACGTGATTCTCGGCGACGCGGCTTCGACGCCTTCATTGAAAGCAGTGCGAGGCGCGATGCCCGCTGCATCTCGTGGGCGTCGCGTGCAGGCGAGCGACGAGGGCAAGGAGGGGGAAGGCTTGGGGGGGGGGGGAGATCAAAGGATTCCCAAGTCAATATTTTAACGTTGTCGGCAATGGGTGCGCTGTTGGCTTTTATTTGGCGTGCGGAGAATTTTTTTAAAACTTTGGTCTTGACAGTCTGCCTCACAACGGCTCGCTCGTAGCAATGTTCTAATAACGCGGCAAGCGAGACATTCTTAATAAACACTAAAATGAGAAAATTTACCTCACCGCTACTCTTCCAATTGACCACTAAATTATTTGCTTCACTGCAGCACATTAGCGCTAATTTTGATTCATGCTCGCACGTTATCAGTTTAAACGGCTTGCGCGGTAACAATTCGTATAAGTTAATTTAACATTTTAATTGATTTTTTTTTATTTGGCAGTGGGTCCACGCGTGGCCTGTGATACGGTAAACAAATTTCAGCACATTTTCAGAAAAATAGAGACATGTAAATGCGAAATAATTAGCAATTATTGAGCGCTGCATGGCGGTGGTTTTAAATTGCCACAGCGTTTGTTCAACAAGAATAAAAAAAAATAAGAAACGCAATTACCATGATGCATCTCATTCAGATAATTGCAGATGAGAGGGTGCTTACTCCCAAATTATGAATATGCTTTAGATATTTACGTGGTCTAACTCAATGTTAACACACAGAGCCAGTTTTGCTTCGAGGCTGCGTTTTAATGAGCCACAATAACACTCTCTGAGAACTAAATTGGCTATAAACTCCTTTATGAAGGAAAACGGCAAAGGTGTGCAACCCTGGAATTTCTAAATTTGAAGTTTTCGTGACTGCAAGTATTCATGTTCTTTGTTTTTTTCGGTAAAGTCACGTAGGTAAAAAATTAATTAAGCGGTGTGCTTTCGCTAAGTTGTTCTCACCTGAAGAAGCACGCTTGTGTTGCGCCCGAAACGTCGTGATATAATTTATTTAAATTTTTTACCTACGTGACTTTACCGACAAAACCAAACAGTATGAACCCTGGAATTGCTTGTTCATGCCACTGCTGGCAGAAGGGCCTCCAGAGAGCTTCTGCTGTTTCTCGCCTCCTCGTCCACACCGGCCAGGCACTTTGCCCAACCACACGGGGGCCTGCTGGTCGATCAACTGTGGTGTGCTCTGTCACACTGCGGGGTGGAAGAGAGGCGGTGGGAGATTTACTCAAAACTCACCCCGTCGTTTCACACTCGTGCAGCGGGAGACCGAACCGAACCGGTGATCTCTCAGTCGTGCGATGGCGGTTGGACCGCTGCTGGAATTCCAGGCGCGCAGGACCATATTGAAATATATATATATAAAAAAATGGCCTTTAAACTCGGTAGGGGGTTTTCCCGGATGAATGGTGGAACCACGTTTCTCTTCATACTCGTTGGTTCTTTCGGTAAAGTCACGTAGGTATAAAACATTTTTTTATTTCTTTTATTTTATACCTACGCGACTTTACCGAAAAATTATTTAATTTTTTTTATTTTATACCTACGCGACTTTACCGAAAACACCAAAGAGTATGAATACTTGCAGTCATGAAAACTTCAAATCTACACGTTTCTCTTGTTGATTTTTGGTCGTTTAAAGGCGATCGGCGGGAATAACGCCGACAGCTCCCGCACACGCACGCCGATGCGGGGTACGAACTCGCCGACGCATCTTCGGATTTTCCCGCGCGGTTCGCAACTGACCGGCGGTCGGGATAGCGGTGGGACGCCCGCCGTGCATGCGCGCTTCTGATTGCAAACCAAACAAAGGCGGAGATAATAGAATACAAATAAAACAGCAGAGTTGGCAGGTATTTCAAAAAAATGTGACGGTAATTAATCCCACGGAGAGCGGCGGGTCCGCACAGTCGCGGTGACATTTACCAACTCTCGCTTGACAAGCGCATGGCAGCTTGCGACCCCCCCCCCCATCCTCCGCCTCATGCCAATGGCGATGTCGGCAACAATCTGAATATCCGTTCTGTTGTCCACAAACAATGGTGGTGGCTAGGCGCCCACTGGGGGGGCCAAAGCAAAAGTAACTTTGGGGCGGTGGATGGGGGGGATCGTTTCAACAATGGGCAAGTTACACCATTGTAACCTCATTTAGCAGTAGCAAAATATGATAATTGTTTTTTTACCCTTTTATCTGGCAACAAAACTGACACCTTTTTTTTTATAAGGAGTCATGTTTGCATTGACCACAATACCTGCGGTCGGAATTCAAACAAAACACATAACTCTGATAATGTATGCATTTTTCGATTTAAAGCTTTCGTGACTGCAGGGATTCATCTTCTTGGTTTCTTCGCCTGAGGACGGCTGCTTGCGTTGTGGCCGAAACGTCGTGAGAATTGTTTTATTATGTTTTATTTTTATTATTTTATTACTTCCCTTCTACGTGACTTTACCGAAAGAACCAAGAAAATGTATGCATTGTCCTTGAAATTGATTGGTCCACACCCGAGACAGCTTTCATGTGCCTTTTTGCGTCATCTGGTCCAACTCCATGTGAGACTAGGCTCTAAGGAAAGCTGTCTCGGGTGTGGACCAATCAATTTCAAGGACAATGTATACATTATCAGAGTTATGTTTTTTTGTTTGCATTCCGACTGCAGGTATTGTGGTCAATGCAAACATGACTCCTTGTAAAAAAGGTGTTAGTTTTGTTGCCAATAAAAGAGTAAAAAAACAATTATCATTGGGCAAGTTTCTTGAATTTCCTCCACCTCCGTCCGTCCATCAGTATATATCGGTGCGTGACAGTCATCATATGTAGTGGAGTCTAATGTGGGTACCGCCACCTCTTACAGCAATATTGGCTCCTTAATTGGATGCAACAATCGCTGTTCAACCTCATTCAAACGGATTCCTGCACTTTAAAAACAAGTATAGTATATTATGTTATTATGTTTGGATTGCCTGGGCCCTTGCCATCGAAATGTGGAATTTTAGACATGAGAAAAGGGGTTGTTAACAGAGATGAGCGTCGAGTTTTTGAAAAAAAAATAGATTTTTTTTTACTGACATTAGTAATAGTGCTTGTCAACTGGAAGGGTTGATTCCTGTCACAAGGACGTATAGTTTATACCGCTGTGTTCGGGCTGCAAATGGAGATGAACATCGCCCGGCAACGTATTGAGCGTGGGAACATTGCCTTTTGACCTTAATAGGTCTAACACCGTTTGTGACCTTTAGGGTTACCTTTAGTGAATGTTGTATCGATAAACAATGGCGAGAATTGGCAGCCCCTTAAGTTGGTCACAGTGAAGGTGAACAGAGAATCAATCGCAGCCGCGACAGCCGTAACGTCCTCTCCTCTGGACAGCGCTCTTCGATCCAGCGCACGCGCCCACCATTCACGGCTCTCGCCTCGTGTGTCCCTGCAACTATTGGGGCAAAGACGCCCTGAGGAGGTTGGGGAGGGTGTCCCACTACTAGCGGATGGTTCGGCGTTTGGCGAGATGTTATCTTATTCTTTGGTTTTTTCGGTAATGTCACGTATAAAGATCAAATAATAAATTAATCTTCTTGGTTCTTTCGGTAAAGTCACGTAGAAGGGAAGTAATAAAATAATAAAAATAAAACATTATAAAATAAGTAATAAAATAATAAAAATAAAACATAATAAAATATGTTTTATTTTTATTATTTTATTACTTCCCTTCTACGTGACTTTACCGAAAGAACCAAGAAGATGAATGCCTGCAGTCACGAAAGCTTTAAATCGAAATAATAAATTAAATTAAATAATAGCATACGACGTTTCGATTACAACACAAGCAATCATCATCAGGTATAATGAAATAGCGAGATAGAATCTAACCAGAAAACTATAGACAGACATATAAGCAGACAGATATCACCAAGATACATAGAGAGAGCAACCCAGGTACAGAGAGGTGTGATCGTCTCTGTGGGGTGGCCTTAAATAGACAGAGGGGGGCGGAGGCAGAGAGAGGGAGGGGGTAGGGAAAAAATGTACATGTCAATGAGTAAACATGCTTATATGTCTGTCTATAGTTTTCTGGTTAGATTCTATGTCGCTATTTCATTATACCTGATGATGATTGCTTGTGTTGCAATCGAAACGTCGTATGCTATTATTTAATTTAATTTATTATTTTATCTATATACGTGACTTTACCGAATAAAACAAAGAATAATTCCTGCAGTCACGAAAGCTCCAAAATTAAGAGATGTTATCTTGCTCGCCTGGTATGCAGGAAGTCGTGGGTACGATCCTGGCCCTGACGCCTGTATATTTGGAGTTTGCATGTCCCCCCGCGCTCCACGTGGTTATATGGATTTAACTCCGGGTCCTCCGGTTTTCCCCTCCACGTTTAGAAACATGAGGTTTAGATTATTTGGATGCTAAACATTTCCACGTGATAAGCCACTTCGTTGAGTTATCATTTGTGGCCAGGTCGCTTCTGAAAAAAGACCTAAATAGCTCAGTGGGCCTCACCTGGTAAATACATAGCTTTAGTTTTGGTTATTGGTCCGATTACGCATCCGCGTGAAGTAATTACACAAAATCTACACAACTATCAGCTCACCGAAATCGGTGCTGAGCCGACTGTCTGTGATGTGATAACTTAATGATGCTGCGTTGGCAGCGGCGCGCAGCAGGGATGGTTAACAACAAATTTCCACGCATTCGTCAAGAACAGTGTGGCCTTGACAACGTATATATTTATTTTATAGAGAGGCAGTGTTATTGACTGATGCGTTGAGGTTCTTTGTGTATTTAAAGGCTCCTTCATCACTACAATCAGCATTTATGTCATCTTGTAGAAGGAAGATAACTGCGTACTATACAAATGTGTGTGTGTGTCTGTGTGCGTGTCTGTGTGTGTATGTGTGAGGAGCGGTAGTGTAGCGGTTAGCGGTAGTGTAGCGGTTAGCGCTACGCTGCGCTACGAACCCGGTGACCCGAGTTCTATTCCCGCTCACGGAAAAACACCGGTGACGATGATCTAAACCGGTCCTGGACCTCCCCTAGGTCGACTCGGCCTCAAATAAGTACTTGGTGCGGTGTGCAAAACATCACCATTGGGGAGACAAAGGTGGCAGGGCGTGGTTTATGGGCACCCACCCCCTCGTGAGCCGTGCCAGCCTTCATAGGTGCTCGCTAACCGCACTTGCTACAACAGTCTAGTAAGGCTATATGGGGGATTTTTGTCTCTTTAAAATAAAATGTTGGGCTTTTTAAGAAAGGAAAACCAAAGAAGCAAACATCAGCTGGTGGAATACAGCGATATGGTTAAGAGGATACATGTAGGGCATATTCCTCTTTGATCTCCGGTCGCAATATAGAGAAGTGAAACAAAGACGGATCTAGGGCAGTCAAAAAATAACAAGCGCTTTAAACAGGAGCCAACATTAATTTAAAAAATACAACATATGATCTCTGAGGGAGGTTTGCGAGTTCCCCCATCACCCACTCTTTGGACCACCACCGTGTCGGGCTAAGAAAGGGGACGTGGAGAAAGTGGAGGAAAAGTACAGCTCGTTACACATATCTTGCTGGGTTTCTCCAAGCCATATCTCAACATTTTCGAGGTGTCTGGACACCCCTGGCTCTATAACCCCTTCCGTCTGCCACCCTCATCCCACCCACCGGCTCCTGTCTCACCCTCTCCCACTCTACCCCCCCTCCACCTCGACCCTTGTGCCGGAGGCAGGATTCAGCTTGTCCTCCGTGCTGCGCTTGATGAGCGCCGAGTGCCGCGACCTCCCCGAGCCACGGCTGCTGCCGGGACAGCTGTCCCACGCGGCCCTCGGCTTCCGCGAGGGCCGCGTGGCCTGGCTGTCGCTCGCCTTCGAATCGGTGAGACCTCCCGGGTTCCCGCACACACATACACACGTGCAGAGAGCAACCACCTCGTCTCCCATAGCCCCCGGTACGGTCATTCCAAATGTTATGTACGTTCTAGATTTGAAGCTTTCGTGACTGCAAGGATTCATATTCGTAGGTTTTTTCGGTAAAGTCACGTAGGTAAAAAATTTAAATTAATAAAAGTAAAATAAAATAAAAATCACGACGTTTCGGAGGCAACACAAGCTTCCGTCTTCAGGCCGTGATTTTTATTTTCTTTTACTTTTATCAATTTAAATTTTTTACCTACGTGACTTTACCGGAAAAAACCTAAGAATATGCTACGTGCGTATGCACGTTGAATTTATTTTGCACCGTATGTAGCCAGCCATGCTAATCGGAGGTGCAGGGGAACGACAACAAAAGAAACACAAAAAGCTGTTCTCAATGAATTAGTTTTCAATCTAGATTTAAAAGTGCATAGCTACTGTGGTTTCTTAATAATTGCTCCTGCTGCTCCTGTTATTGTGGAACAATAGGACTGCGAGGGGTGGCTGGGTAAACTTCAAGGTTGAAGCACTGAGGCGGGACCACTGAGATAAGTGGTGTGGAGTGATCTAGGATTGAAGCTTTCGTGACTGCAGAAATGATACTCATTGTTTTTTTTCGGTAATAAATAATAAAATAAAAATTCAATGAATAAAATGTTATTAAAATAAATCACTATACTTTAAAAACCTTTGTTTATTTTAAGTACATTTTATTTATTGAAATTGTTTTTTTCATTTCTACATACGTGGTGTGGAGTGGTTGGCGTGGGTTCGCTACCGAACCTGGTATCTCAGCGATGCTAGCACAGGGCTCTGACTGGTGAGCTAAACAAGCCTTTTTTGAAAAATATACTTTAAAAACCTTTGTTTCATTTTTTTAATAACAGTTGCTGAAAACGGGCCCAAATCTCCAAAATTACAAGCAGTCAGCAACAAACAGCTCCAGGTTGTAAATATACAACGGTTAATATGTCTTTTGTATTGACCAGCGTTATAGAAATATACAGGAAGATTTTTTAGGAGAAATTTTGTTCAGTGACGACTATTCGCTCGCATGGCATTGGAACCCAGGATCTCAGCAATCCTGGCTCAAGCGCTCTGACTGCTGAGCCACCGGTGGTCACTTTGAAAAAAATCGATGTATTTTAAAACCTTGTTCGGTCAGGATATCTTTGCCCGGATTTGAACCAAGCTTCTCAACAGCACCCGCTCAGTGCTGTGGAACAGCATAATCCCCTTTGGTCCGCCTCAACACCACTGTTTAATTGCTTTTATGACCACTGTTTCATTGCTTTTATGGCTTTATTTTGGTGATTTTCGATAAGTTTTTTTGGTTTGGACATGTTTTTTTGTTGTAGTACAGAGTTAGACTGATGGCCTTAATCTAAGTTGTCTTGTGGTTGTTGTTGTTGTTTGACTTGCATCCCACTGGGATTTTTGCACATTTTTGTGTACGGTGCTTTTTCTGCAATATTTTACTGTCTTTTCTTGGATTTTCTGTTTGCACTCAGTCACATATTCACTTTTAAGATGTTTTTTGTTCATGTTTTTGTTTTTTGTTTGTTGCGGTTGCACCCGATTCAAGAGCCGAATGGCTCACAGGGCTACACCTAATACATGAACTTGAACTTGAAATGAACTTGAACACTTCCCATTAATGTTATAATGTCGAACAGCCCTCGCTTACCGTGTTATTGTCCCATTACCATGTACCTTGGCCCAACCCGCGGACCATGTAGTACATGTCGTTTATTGATTTCTTTATTTTCTTACTATAAAGTGCCCCCAGGCCCACTCTTTCCTTTTGTCGAGCAGTTCATTGTGCACAAGGCACACGTGCACTACATATCGGGAAAGCTGCGCTTAACTCGGCTCACTTGATATCGTTAATTAAGGTCATCTCACTATCTCCAGGTGATTTGCTCGTTAGTCTCGATATAGTCTGTTTGTTTACTAAAGTTCCTGTGCCTGACACCATTGCAATCATTAAAGATTTGGTTCAACAAGGACTGAATGCTGATGTACCGGCCCTGGTGAGACACTGCCTCACCAACACTTACTTCACCTGGAATGGAACATTCTAAAAACAAGTTGAAGGTACCCCAATGGGTTCTCCCTTATCTCCAGTTGTAGCCAATTTTTTCATGGAAAAATTTCAGACAGATGTCATCCAGGCATCCACTCTACGCCCGGCCTTTTGGAAGAGGTACATAGATGATATGTTCGTCATCTGGCCACAGCTCTGAACCAATTCCTCAACCACATCAATTCCATACACCCAGCCATCAAATTCACCATGGAAGTGGAAAAGTATGGCAAGCCACCATTCTTGGATGTTTTAATCAAAAAGAGACCAGATGGCTCAATGGGACACTGTCTACAGGAAAGCCACCCATACGGATGCCTACCTAAAACCTGACTCCCACCACCATCCATCTCAGAAGAATTCCCTCATCAAAACTCTACACCATAGCGCTCGATGCATTTCCGACCTTCATCACCTAGCCAGTGAACTGGAACATATATACCAAGCTCTCAAGATGAATGGATATCCAGACTCCACAATCCGCAAATCTATCACCCCAACTGTTGGGAAAGAACCATCTGAGGACCAAATCAAAACCATCACCTTGCCATACATAGTAGGGGCCACCAAAAATATTTCCAAAATCATGAACAAACACAAGATTTAACACAGTACATGAAATTCGTGATCTGATCCCATCTTGTGAAGGATGTGATCCCTGACATGCAATACCCCGGCCTCTACAAACTAAGCTGTGTCTGCGGCTGCAGTTACATTGGGTAAACTAAGCGACATGTATTGGACCTTGTTCGTGAACATAAAGCTGATCTGAAACACGGTAGGACCAATACCCCGGCCGTGGCTGATCATTGTTTTAATGCGGTGGGCTCACGTGAAATTGATTTCTCTAAGACGAAGGTACTTCGCAAACCCACTGGCTATCAACACAGATACGTTCATGAAACCATCCAGATATATAAACACAGACACAATTTCAACCGAGAAAATGGGTACAAACTTAGCAATCATTGGAATAACGTTATCAACCAATTTAAGTCATAACCGGCTGTGCTGTTCCCTTTCTGCCACCTTCCGATGTTATTTTTTATTTTTTCCCCGTGGCTTCGGCTCTCCAATTTCACATTAACAGGTTGAATTCCTCGTGCCACCGTGGCCACCTACGGACGCCGACCTCTGCGTCGCGGTGGCTCTGCGATCCCCCATTAACATGCTAATCTCTCACATTAACATAATGCTAATCTCTCACATTAACATGCTAATCTTTCACATTAACATAGCCACCCATGCACTTGTCACGGACGCCTTTCTGTGATCTCACATTAACATGCTAATCTCTCACATTACATCACTATCCCCGCCCACTTCGTTTATGACCCTCGGACTACACCCTATAAAACAGTCTGCATTCAGCAGCTTTTCTCCTCTTTCCTCCTGATGACGATCGCTTGTGTTGTGATCGAAACGTCGTAGGTTTTTGTTATTTTTTTTAACCATCTACGTGACTTTACCGAAAGACCCAAAGAATAACGCTTCGGAGGTCCAAATGGAATTGCGCGCGAGCACGGCTGGCAGATGCCGCGCGTGGGTGTTGCGCAGGCATACGACCGGCGACGTTTTGTTTTGCTGTGTTCCGGGGCTGCCGTGCTTCCTTGGACTCCGCCCTCCCCAGCCGCGAGCCCTAGCCGCCAGCCCGTTCCCTGCCCCACCAGCCCTCCTAATGGATGCTGTGCTACCCCTCGTCAGTAATGGGCCTTAACGATGACAATTAGTGGGGCAGTTGTGTGCGTGCGTGCGCGCGTGTGAGAGTGCAACGCTCTCAAATTCCTTAAAAATAACCGGATGCCCTGTGCCAGAAAATTAGGCACTAATTTAATGTCCAGTGATGTGCAAAATCTATGCAAATTATTTTTTCCAATGCCTCTCAGCGATTATGTTGATGGTACAGATAATGCTAATCAATATGTTGTTTCATCAGTCAGTTTATTTTAAAACTCCGAGTAACTGTTTTTATATTTTCCCAATTTTGTTCCATTTTGCTATCAGTGTCATCGCCACCAGATGTGCTTTCCATCCGGGTCCCTGCCAGAGCCGTTGCAACCCCTTCGTTGTGCTGTTATAGAATCGCCCACAGCAGCAGATATCGCGACGGCTCCCTCTGAGATGCATTCAAGTGACCTCTGGTCCACGCAGACGAGGGGAGGAGAGCAGCACTTTGCCACCTGCTCCGCACACGCTACCAATATTCATCGCATGACGGTCAAACTGATATTTAAATTTCAGAGCTGGAAATTAGCCGACTTCAGTTGCGGAACTATTTTTTTTTAATGCGATGGATTTTTATACGTGCACCTGTTAATAACCAAAAAAATTCCGGCCTTCGAATTATATTGAACATTTTCACAAAGGGGAGACACCCGTTGTGTCACGTGGAGCTCTGCGTTCACCCCGTTGCCTGCGTGGGTTTTCGGCGGGATACCAGGTTTCACCTACAGGCAAAAAAAAACTCAATTTGTTGTATATGCATGAACAAGTATTGGCACGGTCATTAATTACGTATTCAATTTTAATACGGTAAAGTCACGTAGAAGACAGACCTGTTCTCCACCTGAGGACGGCTGCTTGCGTTGTGGCCGAAACGTCGTGAGAATTATTTTATTATGTAAAATTTTTATTATTTTATTATTTTCCTTCTACGTGACTTTACCGAAAGAACCAAGAAGATGAACCTCTGCAGTCCCGAAAGCTTTAAATCGAAATTTAATACGGTAGTTTTATTCACGTAATTTCTCCAATTTAAATTGGTGGAAAATGTTTTTTTTTTGCCTCTATCTGGTTTACATTTTAATGATAAACAACTTTTACAAGCCTGGCACAGTTTTGAACATTGAGTGGAACACATTATCCCTGATGCTATACAGCCTTGGGCTGCCGATACTGCTGTCCATATGGGCTGTGCTGTGCTGTCTGTATGAGCTTTGGTATTTCACTTGAGGCGAGGCTGACCCTTGATGCCAAGAACGTGCAATTATTAAAACATCTCCTTTATAACAATTTCGAAGGTGCTATGTATGCTCGAAGTATAAAGTCACGGGCAAAAATTAAAAGAATGCCATTATTTTTGGGAAACAAAAGATGAAAGTTTTAGCCGTAAGATAAATTATTGGGCAGACGGCGGATACATTTAATGAACCTCTGGGGTCATTAAACCTTCCATTGAAACCATTATTCTACTTTTACAGCTTGCGCCTACCAAAAAAAATTCTGCCTTCCATTTACCGTACGCGGTAGAAATTCCGCAGGCCAAAAAAAAACGGAGCAAAGCCAAACGAGCCAATCATAGCACTCCTCCTCCTAATAGCGTAGCTTTATAAGCAAAAGGTTAGCCTTAATGAGTTTCACCCTACCCATCCGCGCCCCCCCCCTCCGCCGATGTGACTTACGAGTCCACCCAGGTTTGCCTCTTGGGGTCACCCTGGCAGGCGCGGTGGTGCCGTTCGTTCTTCTGCCCGAGCGCCAGGAGTAATAGGCGCGAGATTATCGGACGTAACGGGGCTGACGGGCGAAAATGCCGCGGCCCGCGCACTTGACTCCTCTTCCTTCTCTGCCGCCACCGCGGTCAGAGGCGCAAGCCACGCACGTTATCGGAGCGCTAGAGGCGCCACCGCCACCCGTTTTGATTTGCGCGGTGCCACATTGGTGCGCGTTCGCACGGGCGGGCGAAGTGCACCCACGCATTTAATTCCGTGATTGAAGAGAGGGGGGGGGGCCCGTCCACATAGTGTGTGCGAACCGATAGTCACATCTGCACCGTCCGCCGATCTCTGTGTCTTCCGAGCTGCTGGCTGGCTCACCCGACAACCCTCTGCCACGCACCGATCATTGATTCGCTGCGCCCGTCCAGTGTGTCGCACAGCCATCAGCAGGCCGCACAGAGTGACACTTTCTGTACGGCCGACTGCTGCCCCTTTGGCTGTTCCCTCGATTCTGCGGGCGATGCCAATTGAAACATCTGATGGGTCGTAAAGTCACCTGTAGGCCACTTTCCAGCCTGGTGTTTGACAGACTCACACCTTTATCGATGCATGAAATCCTCATCGAGTCTTCGATGCGGGGGGGGGGGGGGGGGGTGAGAAAGGTTTTGTGCCGCCGTGTGTTTGGCCATTTAGTTGGTGGCTATTCACTCGTATGAGAGGTTAACTTGATCACTCGGAACAATCGACATGCAATACAGATTGTCCAGCAGCCTTCATCTTGCCACCGTGGGCGCCACGGTGGTTGAGTGATGGTGGTTGCCCGCCCGCCCATGCCAGGTCACATACCGCGGCGGCTCTGCTCTGGACTCGCTGGATGACTATGCCCGCTGGGAGGCGTTCCTGCAGCAGCAGCTGGCGAGCCTGCCCCCCGACTCGGTGCTCCGTCGAGGATTCCAAACGTGCCAGCACTGGAAGCAGGTGTTCACCGAGGTTCTGGGTAAGCGCCTACACCACACTGCGCTGGCAATCGCCTGGCAATGATGCCAGCGAAACACCGGTGTGCTCAAGTGGTGATTAATTGCCACGGTTTTTTTTTGTTCACGTGACAAACCTTCCTAGTTGGCTGTGTCGGGTGGAGGTCGGGTTTTACGACACATTTAAGCGAACTGACCCTAAAAACGTTTGCTCCTGCAGTATAAATAAATATTCTGATTTTGATTACGAACTCTACTGGGCTGTGGAGCGGTGGTGATGGTACGGCTGCCCATGCTGAGCACAGGCCTATTGTGAACCCGTGATGAAAATCAAACATTCCCACGATCAGGGCCGAGTATATCCATAAGCAGAATCACTGCTGACTCCCAGGGGCATGATGGGCTGAGTCCCCCCCCCGAACTAGGATTTGAACAAGAGCACTACCCCCCACCCCCCCCGCCATTTAAAGTATGCTGCCGTGGAGCAACGGTTAGCACACTGGGCTTGAAATCCACAATTATTACGACATCGGTTTTCCTGCAATCGCCATAATTGTCGTCTTCAACTGGAGCCTGGAGTTTCCGTCAATAGGTGCTCAGTGGATAAAACATCGAGGCACGCGCCCCGCAAACCTGAAGTTCGATCGATTCCCACTCGTGGCCAACATCGGTGACGAATGTCTGAAGCGATCCTCGGCCTTAAATGAGTAGCCGGTGCGGTGTGTGAAACATCACCGCTGGGGACACGAGGGCGGCCGGTCGTGGTGCTGGCCACGCCACCGTTGGCCTTCGTAGGGGCTCGCCTACGAAACTTGCCCCAACAGCCTGCGTAGGCTACACGGGGGATCTTTGTCTTCGTGTGCAATGCAGGTGTGCAGAGTGCGCTGTGCAGCTTGGCTCTCTCTCTCGCCATCTGCGTGGCTGCTGTTGCCATCTTCACCTCTCACCTCTGCCTGACCTTCATCGTGCTCATGATGGTCCTCGGTACGTATGGGTGCCTTTGTTGCTCCGCTCGTCACTATTCAACATCTCAAAGTCTTTCGAGGCGGGTTTGTGGCGCGAGACCCGCAGTCCAGCCACTCGGCGGTCGGGTGAGTGAGATCATGAGGTTATATCTGTGATATACGGTACGTAACCTGCCTTCAGGGACATCGGGTTGCCCACTGAACGCAGTACAGAAAAGAAGTCGTTAACATCGTTGTATTGCTGTTGCTAACAAAGCTGTGTGTTTTTGTATTTCTGGTCTCATCCCACAGTCGATAATGACCACTTTCATGAATAAAGGGAACATCGCATCGTATTGAACATTATCTGTGGACTGGACACTCTGTACCATGATACACTCCATTTCACTCCCCCTCCGCACACTCGCCGCTCCAGCAAGCAAAGACTTTTATCCGAGCTCTTAGCCGAGCTTCGCTCCGTGACAAATCAACTCCCTCGCCTCTTCTCCTCCAGTGATGTGACAACCCCCACTCCCTGAGCCGTCCGTGCTGTTGACTCCCTGCTCGCTGTTCAAGGTCCTGACTCTCCACGCCTTCCCCTTCTCGGCCCGTAGCTGTCTCTTCTCTTAAAATAAAATAAAAACGTGGGGTGTTTCCACCTACTTTCATCCCCCATCGCCCCTACGATGCACGTCTCACCGGTTTGGACCGCTTCTTGAGAGGCAATTGCCGTTCGATTCGCTATGAAGCCAAATTTTATCATTGTTCTGTATCCCAAGCGGCACCCAGATGAACAAAAAAGTTCGGACTGTGAAAGTTTTGCCGAGAAAACGCATTAAATAAACAGTTGTTATTACCGCACACATCTGTGCAACTCCTTATGAAAACACACACTTGTGTGTGTGTGTGTGCGCATTCTGTGGGGAGCGGGTAGCGTCGCAGTTAGCTACGAACCCAGCGACCCGTGTTTGATTCCCGCTCACGGCCAACACGGGTGCCAATTATACGAACCTGGGCCTCCCCTAGGTCGACCCAGCCTCCAATAAGTACCTGGTGCGGTGTGTAAAACATCGCTACTCGCGAGACAAATGCGGCCGGGCGTTGTGCCGGCCACCCACCGTGCCAGCCTTCATAGGTGCTCGCTAACAGCACTTGCCCCAAAAGTCTTGTCAGGGCTATACGGATAATCTTTGTATGTTCCGTAACATAACAGAGCAGTTGTTTTGAAGCCGTGTCAACGCACGGCCTTTTATCGCACCATCTCATTTCGCCACCATCACCAACATTGCCACCATCGACACCCTAAATTCTCTGCAGGCCGTCACACACTTCGTTGACGGCACGCGGGCCCAACGCTCATCTTGCTTCTCTTCCCTCCTGGAACGTTTCTTTTTTTAAATGTTTCGCTATCCCCCGCATAGAGCGAAATTCTCAATCTGCCACTCACGCGGTGAGGAAACCTCTCCGCGCGTGACGGTCGCCTCCCTCACACACGATCGTACATTGATTCACGGGACAGCCGCCCTACAAGGCCTTCACAATCCCTTCATCTCACTTTCCTCCCCCGGTCTTCACGGCCTTCACAATCCCTTCATCTCACTCTCCTCCCCCGGTCTTCACAGTCCCTTCGTGTGACTCTCCTCCTGCACCTGGCTCCATTCGCTGAAATGTGTCAATTCCAGCGGAATGTCTCATAGTCAAGTCAAAAAAAGAAATTGTTGATAATATTTGACCACCATTGGCCGATTTTTCTTCGGAGTTTTGATGTGCACTGGCACTCCTCTTTTAATTTGCAAGCTTCTCTTGATGTCTGCAACAGCGGGGGAGGTGGGGGGGCATTGTTACCCACAGTTTGCAGCGTTTATTATTTAGAACTGACTGCAGCGTGGACCCCCTGAGTTGTATATGCCCCCACCCCTCTCACCACCTGGAATAGCTCATCCTATAAGCTTTGGCAGGGAGAGGGGGAGGGGCGGCGGAGATGGAGACTATGATTTAAATCGAAACCCAAATTGTTTGCCGCTTGGCCACCGTTAGGAGCGGCGTCGCGATTGCATCGTGATAAATTGAGAATTCATTTCACGATCGGAAAATTCTGGGCTCGCGAGCGAAGGGAGATCGGAGAGAGAAAACAAATAAATGCACGACTCGAGACTGCTCTGGCATTGTGTATCATCCAGATCCGCATCGCACGTACGCACACCAACCCCCCCCCCCCCCCTGCAAATATAGACGTGCCAAGTTCAGCCTCACAGATTTGTCTCCGCACGTTTGCTGTTTGCAAACGCCGATGAAGGCCAACACGGTGCAACGAGGGAGCTGGGGGGATTAGCACCATCCCTGGTTGCCTGTGTCTTCCAAAGTGCTGGTGGTTTACACACCCGCCCGGACAAGGGGCAACCCTTAAGGTTTGAGTTGACCCCAACGAATTGCACGATCGGCTGCGTACGGCGCAAAAGAAGTTCAACATACACGCATACATACAGCGATGGCCCAGGACCGGTTTAGACATTGCACGCCACCAACATTAGCCGGGCTCGTAGCGCAGTGTGCTCACGGCTACGCCACCGCTCCCTGCATACCGCCATATAGCCATCTGGGCGAGGAAATTACTGTTAGAGAGCACATATTAACACTGGCACGGCACGTGAGTGTGTGGTCTGGTCAGAACCACGCACTTGATGCAGCAAATCTGGCTGTGACGGTCCCACCTGATGACGGAGACTTGTGTTGCCTCCGAAACGTCGTGATTTTAAATTTTAATTTAATTTTATTATTTTAATTTAATTTTTTACCTACGTGACTTTACCGAAAGAACTAAGAGTAAGAACCACGCACGCCCTGCTGCTTGGTTTTCCAAGTCCTAATGATGTTTACACACTTGCACCAAGTACTCATTCAAGTCTGAGTTACTACGCACACACACGCACCCCCCTTTATTCCTGCGGATAGGGGCAATGCGCGTCTGTTGGGACAAAGTTACCGGCAGTGGAATTGTTGAAAGAAATTGACGTTTCCCAGATTGATAACAACAGGCGGAGGAAGATATTAAGTGCCTTAGGCACATGTTCATTTTTTCCGGTAATATGTTTTATTAAGATATGCGCAGACATTCAACATCACGTTCTGCATTTTAATGGTGAGTTTTCAATATCAAAGATGGATCTAATATCTTCAAACAACTTTTTAACAACTTCAAAGCTAATGCATTTGTAACGACTTAATATAACCCTAGCCAAACTTTCCTGGATTCGCGGAGAGTGTGTACCGTCTTTCAGATTTTCCGAGTAAATTCCAGAGCCGGCAGCTTGTCATTAGAATGTTACGTCTGTGCGATATGGCCGAGGAGATCATAATGTGTTCTTGGTTCTTTCGGTAAAGTCACGTAGAAGGGAAATAGTAAAATAAAAAAAATACAACATAATAAAATAATATCTCACGACGTTTCGGCCACAACGCAAGCAGCCGTCCTCAGGCTTGGCAGCGTATATTTAAGCTGGGTTGGAGGGCGCTCTTCCCCCTCCATCTCAGCTTAAATATACGCTGCCAAGCCTGGTGGTGTTCATTCAGACGCTGTCCTTCCGACATACCTGTTCTTTACCTGAGGACGGCTGCTTGCGTTGTGGCCGAAACGTCGTGAGAATTATTTTATTATGTTTTATTTTATTATTTTATTATTTCCCTTCTACGTGACTTTACCGAAAGAACCAAGAAGATGAATCCCTGCAGTCACGAAAGCTTTAAATAGATATTATAATGGCCGTGTCTGAGCACGGCATTTGCACCGATGAGAAGCTCGGCCCGTGAGTCTGTGCAGCTCCCCGTCGTGAATGACAAGAACATAAAACGTCACACTTGAGTTGTTTTTGGTTAGGTCGTGCCGTAGGTTGCGATGCACATTTTTGATCAAAACTCTGCACCGCCACCCGACAGAATCAATCAATTAAAGTTGTCACGTCGTGGGCAAATGTGCCAGTTTTTTTAGCTTTTCAAATTTTGCTTGCTGTTTTCAACATTCCTTCGGTTTTGCTGACAAATTAAATAAATTGCCACATTTGACCACGACACGACAGCTTGACTTGGTTGGCTCTGTCGGGTGGTGGAGGGTTACGGTAAAACGTGTTACATTATACCCACACGACGATAAAACCCAAAATAACTTAATTATAAATCATTATAATGGCCGTGAAAGCCCGCGTGTAAACATTACTCGTAATGTCCGCATATGTATGAATGTATGTTGAATAGCGTTTGCGCCGTACGTAGCCAACCGTGCCAATCGTAGACGCTTGCTTTACAACACAACGGCAACTTAAGGGATGGGCATACGGCCAATTCAATCGCAACTCGCTGCCGCCAATTTAAATGCTTCCCAAAAAACGTTTTGAACAAAATGTACCTGCGGGGGCGCGCTTTAAAAGCGGACGACTGATCAGGTTTTTGGGGTGGCTCGGAGGTCAGAGTGAATTGTCGCGTTTTCAGATCTGGGAGCAAGACCCGGGTGACGGGGGGGGGGGGTGGTCTCGACTGTGGAGGGTTGACGGTCTCGGCCCGGTCGTCCACGAGGTCACGACGAAGCCCTCTCACGTTTGCACCGCTCCGTTGTTTCGCGCACGGCACCCCCATGGCTTACACTCCACGTGCGAGGCTCGTCAAAGAAGCGACCTCCCCCTCCCTCCCCCCCTCCGGCACGCGGAGCGAAACGTCGGTCCTCGATCGCGGTTGACGACGCGTGGTCACAACCGCGAAAAACGCTTTCGGGGGTGGCTAGAATGGCCCGACCGCGATGACGCACGCTGCACGGCGATACCTTAGTGTGAAATTAGCTTGATCGCTCAGATTGACCAAGCTGTGTCTCTGTGAAGGCTATTCATTTTGCCAGCGCGGAACACTTTTCTCATTTTCGTTGTTGGCTGGAAGTGTAAACTTTTGTATTTGAGTGACCCAGTGCGTTCATCATTGTGGGAAGTTACAGCTCTTGATGTGAGTCACAAGGACAACCTTTGTCAAATGATGCAGACTTTAAATTGGATTCTGACT